TGCGCAACGTTGTCCCCATGTTGCTGCTATGTAAGAGCGAGCTGGCTGTGAAGGCCAATCGGAAAGAGACGTTATGATAATCAGTGGAAGAGAAGGCGACAGCAAAAGCAAAAGCAAAAGCAGCTGTGAGCTCGTTAGAAGCAGCATAGAAATAGAACAAAATGAAGCGAGCCTGACAAACATAGATCAGTTTCTTTAGAGGACTTAATGAATGAAGAAATATACAATTTAATGATCGAGCTGCTATCTGTGTTCTTGTCAAGGGAACCCATCGGAAATTTAATGCCGTTTTCAGATCTCAGATCTTCGACTGTTAGAGTTAGAGAGTCAAAGTAGAGTAGTTAGAGTTGTGCTTAGACAGTGTATCCGGTGGTCAGGCAGGCCCGACTGAAGCACTTTCATCTATGCGCTCTTTTGTTGTGTGGCACCTCACCGGGGACTGGCTTGCTGACTTGTTCAGCTCGTGGCTGGGGCGCTCGATTGGCGGATGTGCGCTCTTAGTAGAAATTGCATTTTGAAATTGAGTGCAGGACACAGGGCGCAGGACGCTGGTCGCCGAACACTGTCCAGGGACTTGCAAGGCGACGCGTTAATATTTCATCTTTCATGCTCACTTGCATTTACACCTACATTGTGGGCAAGACTGCTTGGAGGTCGGCGTGGGCACAGAACGTGGCTGGGCGGCAGAACAATGGCCAGACCCCACGGCGTGTAATCAAAAGAAAACGTTGCCTTCGGCTGCACGTCGCACATCGCACAGCGCACAGCGCACGTCGACCTGCCCGTCTTCTCGAGCGCCAGCACGGAGGGCGTTCCAGAGCCAGCGACGACCATGACGCCGACACCAGCTGCGAGTTATTTACAGGCAGTGGAGGGCCTTCTTCCAGAGACGCCCCACGAAAGACGTCGGCCAGAAGCCAAAAGAGCGTCCTCGTGCAGCTTTAACACAGCGCCGGAAGCATTTAAATGTGTTTTTGTGTAAGCGTGTATCGGCCAGGCAGCAACCAGCAACCAGCAACCAGCAACTAAAATATTTCCGTTATTAAGCTAAAGAAACACTTAACTTTGCCAGGATCACGTTGGGACGTTGGCCAGGTGCGCCGTGCCGTAATGCCGAGGCTCTGTCTCTACGTCAAATAGCGTATGGGATCTTTGCATCGTAAACAGAGCCTGTTATTACACACACACACACACACACATAAGCTGCGCACTTTATGTCCACTTTCCATCGCCAGCTATAGAGAAATTTATATGTGAATAACTTTGATCCTGGGTCTGAGTTCACATTAGATAGATATTTCCCATTCTCGTGATCCGTGCAGCGAGGCAAACCTGTAACTAAATGCTCTTATTTGTAAGTGCAACTCAATGCTATTCAGTTATTCCTTCACATATGTTGTGGGGCAGGGTATTACCGGAGCTTATTAGACCTTATTTTTTATTCATGGAGCTTTGCCTCAGACGCTGCACAGAAGAGCGAGACAAACGCAGTGCTAAAATGTTTCAGTCTTTCCAGTCTTCAGATTTCCCTCCTTCAAGTCTGCATGCGCAAAAGCCAATATACTCGTTTCACTTTTAGCTAGTCAAAGCATTTGACATTTTCTTTCTGCGAATGTTTCCTTGGAAAGTTAATTGAGGCCTCAGACTCGTGTGAGCCATGACTTGACAGAGCATTGCTCAGCCAGTCATACCCGACCGCAGTGCTTACACTTTTATTCTTTGTTGTTGCTCTAAGCACCGCCAATGGTCCTGTTGACGTTGTTACTTTTGAGAAGTGCTTAAGGCTGTTGCTGTTGTTGTTGTTGTAGTTGCTGCTGCTGTTGTTCTTCTACTTTAGTGCAAGCGCCACTGACATTGATGATGATTATTGGGAGTAAATAGAATTGAAAGTGCGCCCGCCACTGGCAAACGCTCGTTTTGGGCTGAGGACACGTGAGCTGCTGCTGCTGCTGCTGCTGTCTCGTACACGCTGAGATATCCAATACCCGTACCCCTTACCCCTTACCCCTTATCCACTACCCGCTACCCGTGTGTGCTACTCTGTTTATGTATGTGTGCGTTTGCATAATGCGCGCAAATAAATTGCAAAATCAATTGAGCGGTAAAATAGTTTTCCTAACAACTCGCTGCTATTGAGTGAAAGTCCTGTCTTGCTTCAGCTACGGGCACATCATCAGCCTCAGCCTCAGCCTCAGCCTCAGCCTCAGTTGCAGCTTTAGCAACTGTCACGCCTATTTGGAACGCCTTCAACTTGAAATTGAAGTCTGCAGCCAATGTAAATTACAGGGTAGAAGCTGCCTCCCGGGAGGCACAATGAAAGCTCTCGTTCGTCACGCTGGCAACTCGAGGAGGCAAGGATCCACACGGATTGCTATTCCTGGGCAAAATATTGAGATTGTTAATAATCAATAACAAAGTAGAGTAAGTAGTTTATTTGACTGTTCATAGCAAGAATAAGACAAACAAGAATTCAACATTTCCCACTTCTCGTTTGCGACGTCATCGATTGATTGAATTATTTATGGAAACTTTTAAAGACTGAAACAATTCTTGTCAGCATATGCAATGTATATATATTTATATATCTATATAAATATTTCATATATATTTACAGTATTTATTTTCGCAGCGCGTATTAATTGTTGTTGTTGTCGAAAACAAAGCGAAACAGTTTTATTTGATGCAATTTTATAAATTGATTTCTTTTATTTGCATAGAGCATCACACAGGCAAATAAATCGCCAATTCAAGAAGGAATAGCTCTGCTGAAAAGCACATACCCTGGCCTCTGTACACCTGCTTGCCTGTTTGCCTGTTTGCCTGCAGCCCGAGTCTGTGGACTGCAAACTCAAGTCGATTTCCTTGCATTCGAATATTTCAAATGTACTCAGAACAAAGCGCAGAAATGTTGCTCGCAGCTGGATATATCTTCTATATATACTGAGATATATAAATATATACTTTATGCAGTTAGCAGCAATGCAAAATTTGGTATTCCTGGTCGGACTATTGCACGCAGCTGCAATAACAAAGATAACAACATCCTTTTATGCATTCAGACAAACAGCACGCTTTGCGCTGAGCTTATGAGCTGAGAGGCTTTTAAAGGAGAAGGAAAACAATTGAGTTGCACTAAAATGCAGTTGCAGGCATCATGAAGTCCATCTGCAGCGCTAAGAGCCGGCTTATTGCGAGCCCAATCTCTGGCTGAAACTCCTTGAGCTGGCCTTCATGACATCTTCGTAAGCTAATGCCTTTCAAGGGCATAGGCTGAGGAGTAGTGGTTGACCCTGGTAAGATCCAGTAGACATGGGGAACTCTAGCTGACTCTAACTAAGTTCAAGCCTGCCTAGCTTAAACTTGGCCACTGAGTCTTTACTGAAGATCAAGCCAAGCTTAAAATGAAGGGAAGTGTTCTACAGCTGCCGATTTTAGTGGCATATAAAGGCATGTGAGCAAAGTGGAAGCGAGCTTAAAGTGAGCTCAGGTTTAGCTATTATGCTTGAGGCTAAGAAATCTTGGCTCAATAGGCGTGTGCCCATAGCCAAGTTCTTTCAATTGGCTTATAAAAATATTAAGATATTTGTGGTGCTTGAAAGTTGATCGGAAAAGAGGAAAAACCCAGTTGAATTTCCTGAAATCAGCTCGATTTGAGCTACTGCTCATCGCCATCCAAGCTCTATGGAAGGGCCAAGGGTAGCTGAAGTTCTGTCAGTCTTTGCTGCTTTGCCTGGATGGGCTCGCAGCGGCAGGCCGTGGCAGTTCGTTCAGTTTCCGAATTCAATTTTTATACGCTGGTAACTTTTAAAATTTCTAATTAATTTGGCAGCTATCGAATGTTGTTACTACATGCTACCTACAAAAGCTTGTCCGAATGAAAACAAGGGCCTTGCCTCCACACAGCTAACACACACACACACACACACACGAGTGAGTTTATATACACGTTTGCACGGGGGCTGGCAGGAAGTCATTGACGTGCAACAAAGTTCGGCTCTGGCTAGTAGCTGCTGCCATGGCCCGATGTCGCTGTGTGCCACGGCGTATACGCAACGTACACTGGCGGCTGCACTTTACAGTTAATCGTAAAACAAAATGAAAAGCGAAAACAATAAACTGAAATTCAATTTTCGCATTGTAAAACATAATTTTCTACAACTTTACGTCAGCTGGCCTTTCGCATTGGGCACGCCTCTGCTAAAAGGTAGTTAATATTTGCCGTCTACATGAGACTTGCTCTGCGCTGCTTTTATTTAGCTTGTGCTTGTTGTTCGTTTTCTTGCTTCAGCTGCTGCTCCTGCTGCTGCTCCTGCTCCTGCTGCTGCTCCTGCTGCTGATTTTGTTGTTCTTCCTGCTGCTGTTGCTGTTGCTGCTCCGTTACATTCCACTTGAGTTGCGAGTTGTTTTTGCTCGCTGCTTCCTGTTTTGAAATTTATGGCGCCGTCGTCGCCAGCGCGGCCGTCGACTTCGCATGAGTTATGTGAGTTGCATTTCTACTGGTGCGGCCAGCAAGCAGTCTGGCCCAAGTCCTGGCCCGGGGGTCCAGAACCTTGTCCACGTTAAGTGTTAAATTATTTTATGTTCATGTGCACCTATATCAGTATGTAGATGTCAGACCGAGCCCGACTCCGACCCCGACCCCGACCCCTCTTAATTATGAACGGCTATTTTAGCCAACACGTTAGACAGCTTCTAGGGTACAGTGAATGCTTGCTTTATTCTCCTTCTCCTTCTCCTTCTCCTTCTTCTTCTTGTCCTTCTTCTTTTTTATTCGACAATAATCAACTTAACACCAACAAATTGTTGTTGCTATTCTATTCAATACACGACTCTCGACGCTCGACTCTCAACTCTCGACTCTCCTCTAGTGTTCGCTGCTGCGAAATGTGGAGCACACACGGCCTGGCTGATTGCATATTTGTGGTGGGGCGTTCTTCTGTTTCTTATCGGACATACATATCAAATCGTTCACATGTTTATAACAGCAACAACACTAGGAACTAGTTCCGCTCTACTCCCTCCCTCCTCTGTCTCGCTCTCTGCATTGGGCTCATCTGAACGGGCAGCGATGGCGCCCACGACTGCGCCTTCGCCACCTGAGCGTCCATGGCCTGGCCGTGGCCGTTGTTGCTGCTGCTAATGTAATTGCTTCGTCTTCAGCCAAGTACCGGGCGCTAATGTGATTCCGATTCTGATTCAAATTCCGATTGCGAGACCTAGCCCAAATCCAATTCCAGAAGCGTTGCGGACGCTGTTGCTGCACGTAGGGATAGCTCGAGCTGGTGTCGAAGTAGAAGCTGCCCTGTAGCCGTCGCCGTGAGTGGATGCCGAACATGGCCCGGCGATTGTTGACGCAACGGCCAGCGGAGTAATCGCGATAGCTGCCGCATTCGTAGCCGATGAAGGGGTACTGCGGATCCATTGACTGCCGGAAGAAGATCGCAGCCGCCGAGTGGCTGCAGGCAATGGGATCTAGGGAAGAAGGGCTCAAGGATTAGCTGTTGGCGCTGGCAGCAGCTGCTCATGCTCACTCACTTGTGTTCTGCATGTCGCGCAGATTCATAAACATCAGACAGTTGCTCTGCGGAGCTCGTCCTCCGTTCGGATAGAAGTCGGCATGGCCACACTTAAGGCTCGTGCCCAGCGTGCCGCCAGAGGTGTGCAGCACTTGAACGAACTGGGCGTCCGTCTTGTCCAGCCTGTACTTGGGATGGACATCGGCGGGCAACGTGAACAGCGGCCCAGCTGGATCCAGGCCAATGATCTGCTCCACCTGACCGCCCAGCACGGCGCCCGCATAGCCCGCTGCATGAGCGCCCAGGCTATACCCAGCCAAGGTCACGTTCTGCCGATTGAAGCTTTGCGGTCGCATTTCCTCCAAGGCAATGATGATGCCCGCAACGGTCAGGCCCACGTCGAATATGGACATCGAAGCGCTCTTATAGTCATTCTGCGACAGATTGCCCCAGTCCACGACGCACACATTGTAGTTCTCATCAAACAGCGTCCAAGCTGCCAAAGACGTTCAGAGTGTTATAAGTGATGCTGGCAATAGAGATCTCTATATTGATAAGCAGGAGTAAGCTCAAGCAGCTGCGCGAGCAAAGGTCATTGATGGATGGCGCCAGCTCTAGATAAAGTCTATAGCAGAATCTGTTCATTCTCTGACTGAGTATATCAGGCGACTCTGCAGCTGTGTCGCTGCCAGCTTCGATTTAGTTTGAATCAGGTAAAAGCAGATGAAACTTTTATTTGGCACAGGCAAATGTAATCAAAGTCTTTGTGAGCATTATGTAAGCTAGAAGTTGCTGCCAGAGGTATCTGGCTGTACGTGGTTATAAACTATCAGACAGAACCATTTCCATGTTCTTGCAACTTAAGTCCGAGTCCTGCTCAACCATCAACAAGGCCTTCTTCAGCTGCCTAGTCTGATAAGAGCTACTTGTAAGGCAAATTTATCTCTGAACTGAATTTGTAATTAAGCTTGAGTAATTAAATTAGCTCAACGTATTCAAATATTAATGTTTCATTGATTGTATTTAAAAGTCTAGCTGCACCTGGCATGCAGCTGCTGGACTACTTTTTTCTAGCTCCTAAACGAAGTTTGATTAAGTTTCTATCCATTTAGCAATTGCTGGCGTCTGTGAAATTTAGATATTTTGCATACTAAAGGTATCTAGCATTAAAACAAAGTGTTAACTTGTCTGCTATACCACAAAGTAGTACAAGACTTGACACGACTTTAGGCCGCATGAATATGTCGTAAAAGAAACTCAGAGCTACCTTTGCTTGCAAACACCATAGACAAGCAATTGAAAGAGCCGCGGAGAAGCCAGAAGACTCCTATTGAGGAGTAAGCAAAAGACGCAAAAATTTTCTCATCACATGAACCGAAGCGATGCAGCTAGCACTCGCCTTAAGTTTGATATGAAACACAATCGATTCGATTCAGCTCTTAGAATCTTTTTATAGAGAGCTTACGCTTAGTCCAGCTCTACTGGGAGAGCTCGTCTGGGAGAGACCAATAGAGCTGCAAACAAGACTATTGAGTGGCTGAGTAAAGAAGGCTCAAGCGAAAGCACGAAGTGAGTTGAGCCAAGTAATTGTGAAGAAGGAAAGCATTGCTGCTAACTAAAAGTATATAAATCTATATCAAATCATATCTATCTATTTATATCTTCTGTGAGAACAGATCAGAAGCTGCTTGACAAATTTCTAATTGGAAGTCAAGTCTTTTGCATAATGTCTGATTGGAAATCCGCTTGGAGCAAGGCTTTTAAGCAGTATGGGATCTACGGCAACTAGATCAGCTCAAACAACAGCTTAAGCGAGCGAACTTGAATCTTAAACACTTAAAAGAGGAGCTGAACAGTTCAGTTTAAGTTTCAGTTAGAGTTTCAGTAAAACAAGTCAATTTTAGCAGCTGAAAGTACGCTTGTCGCGGGCTGCTGAGCACTTGAAAGTGTGGAGAAAATCCTTGAGATTCTAGGCAAACTTGTGGCACATTCGGCTTGGCTTACTCAGTAGTAGCTCCTGCACCCAGTCCTTGCTGCCCTGATCGTTCCAGCCGTGCAGGAATAAGGCGAGCTTCTTGCTGGCATCCAAGCGTCGAAAGCCTCGCAGGTCGCCGAGCTGCAATTGGAAGTGGACCTCGTCGCCCAGGTTCGCGTCGGAGCTGGTTACAGGAAAGGCAATTGGGATGAGAATCTTGAGGAGCCTGGAATGGCAGCACTTACATAGTGCGGCACTCAAACACAATGCCATGATTGAGATGAGCGCGCTCTAAGCTGTTGCTCAGCATCGTCTCCTGCATGTAGCGAAAACTCTTTTGCAAGATATTCCATTTGTGCAAATGGGCGCCAGAGCCGCAGATGTTGCCCAGCAGCAGCAGCAGCAGCAGGCAGACCCACAGGCTGGCAAATGGCTGGCCATGGTAAGTAAAGTGTTGCTTCTGTTGTCGCTCCCGCTGTCTCCAGCTACTGCGAAGAGAAGAGAAGAGATGAGCAGCAAATGCCGATTATTAAAATTGCCGAAACGCGTCATAATTCACCAGCAACGTTAGCCAAATTTATAAATCAAAACTTGGCAAAGAAGGGCGAAGCCGGCAAATGAGTTAGACAAAGAGCGTCAGAGAGGGCGAGAGACAGAGAGAGAGAGAGAGAGAGAGAGGGGAAGCGAAAGCCGAGAGAGGCAGGCAGGTAGAACGTACTAGATACCACGAGACGCGAATCGGAGTCGGTAAATTGGACCGCTTGGCTTGCCCCCTGACATGCTACTGAGGCCAGAGACGCTCGCAAGCGACGTCCAAGCGCTGCTTTAGGCTCCAGCTCCAGTCGGCTGCACGTTTAGGGCCCGCTGATGACCCTCGCGACAGCAGAGATGGCCGCCAAATGAGCTTCATGGCAGCGCCAGCTCTTGTTCTTGGCGTAAGCTCGCTCCGTGTTTGCACAAGTGAAAGTAAAGCTTGTAACGGTGTTCATTGTCTCCGTCTCCGTATCTGCATCTGTATCTGTATCTGTGTCGGAGTCTGCATTTGTATCTGTGACTTGGGCAACTTGACTGATCTTGACATAAAAGCGTCGCTGGCTGGGTAGACGAACTGATACCTGTTTGGATTTTACAAGCCAATCAACAGACGCTCGTCGTCGACAGCAGTCAGCTGAGCAAACAGAACAGAAATCGATCGTAAACATCATCGTAAAGTCGATGCCACAGACAATCGAGCTGTGTTTATGCTACTCAGCATATAGATCATAAACTGGCCTTTCTTCCCTGCTCGAATACACTGCGAGAAATGCAGCACATATATAAAATTTCTTTGAAATTCCATTCAAAATTCTGTTTAGTCCAAAGCGAATCACTTTCGCAGTTTCATTATGATTTATTTTCTAGTTTATCGATGCCAACAGAGGGCATCGGCGTCTCGCAGATACCCTCACTTTTCGTTGTCATGCTGGGCAATTAACATAGATGTTTTCTCGCACGCTTCCACAGAGTTAATACAAGTCCTAATTAACCAAGACACGAAGTGAGGCAAGAGTCGCGGACGGATCTGAAAGATATTTGGACTCTAATTTTAGAGCAAAACATAAAAGTTTCTCTCTTTCTCTAGCCGTCTCTCTCCGGCTCTCTCCGTCTCTCTCTCTACCTCTGTCTTTGGGGCAATCGCGTCCCTCCGATCGTAGAGCTTTCTAGCTTAATACGAACATGTAAAGGTAGGCAACGAAAGCGTGCACAAAGCGCAAGTCACGCTAATGATGACAAGTCAACAAGACAATTTCGAATTCCAACCGAATACCAATTCGTTTTTATCTTCCTTTCCTCATTCTATTACAATTATAAAACTTCTATCTGCAGCTGCTATGTTTATCCACTTACAAACCCGTTTTCGTTTCAACTGCTTTTTCTAGCCAGCTCTAGCCTATCAGCCTATTTTCAAAACAATACTGAGATGTAGGCTTGGCATGTTTTATAGCTAAGCGGAGGGTCAGTCATGCATCTCTAGTGTTTGGCCTGGTGGGTTAAAGACATCATCTACATGTCTCTTGAAACCCACGAAGCAATAAACATTCTCAGTCATGAGTCCAATAATATCGTGTTTCTATATCAAATGTAACATTTGGAATGTGTTAAAGGAAATCTGACTAAGATATACCCCGAACGCCAGCTGGGTTGCTTTTCCAAGCACTCTAGCTTCCATCTACACTCGAATAGAGCTACAGCTCTCTGAAACTTTGTTACTATATTCAAGAGTTAGTCTCATTAGTCCACTGAATGTGCAACAACTACTAAAGAGCTCAACGTCTTTTAGAAATTGGCCAAAGCTGCAACTGAACTGTGAGTAAGTTTATTTTGTGTCTTCAGAGATAGCATATAAAATAAATCAAAATTGTTGAAATTATGCATGAAACTAAATGCCAAATTCGACAGCTCTCGCTGGAAAGCAGCTCGAGGTTTCATGGAAACGAACCAATCTCGTGACAACACGAGCTGTGAATGAGGACCCCATGTACACTTATTATACCTCTAGCTCCTATAGGCTGCGAGAAATAAAGATAAAATAAAGATAAATCCAGGCCAGATCCATTCAGCTTGTCGTCCAGATCTCGGCTATGCCTCAAAATCCATTATGCCTTCAATTCTCATTCTCAATTTCTTCCACTGATATAAGAGAACAAAGGTTTCTCTCGATATTTCATCCATAAAAAGGTTGTGTTCTTTAGAGGCTTACAACTTGGAGTTGACAAAAGTGCTTTATTTGACAGCCTATTTAACAACTGAAAGTTACTTTGAATTGAATTTGGATTGACATTTGGTCATGGTTAGACTTATGAAAGAGTAACGCTCTTAAGTTGCTGAAACTTTTTAGCATTTGTCGTGAGCTTTCTCCATTTTTTGGCGTACACAATGATGAGGCCTGTTTTTGGTTGAATATGCGGAATTCTCGCACTTGAAGTGAGAAGTCGTGAGCCAGGCATGAGCTTCACATAGCCGCAATCATTGTCTTTAATATTGAATTAAATTGGATTGACATTCAAAATATATTTTCTTATTTTATTATAATTTCAGCTTGTATACAGTTCAGCTGCTGCTGCACACCTGAGCAAAGCAATCAGTCAAGATCTCCTTGTCACTTCAACTATTTGGTAGCAACGCCTTTGTTAGGCTGGCCAAATAGTTGGTTAAAGTCGCGCGTTGCTAAACTTCAGATTCCAGGTTCCATTTGCAGTGTCTTATCATTAAGGCAGAGGATGGTGTAATTTTTAATGCACAATGAGCGTTGCCTGCCTTTTAGTACTCAGTGTTGCGCGCCTTTCCCGGCCGCAGCGCCGACAGCGTCCATAGCACCCATCGTTTTTGCCTATTAAGCACAATGATAATAATAATGAGTAATGGCAACAACAACAGCTGTGCACAATAAGTTTACATGTGTGCGGAAGGCGTGTGTGTGCCGCATGTGGGTATAACTTGCTTATGCCGCTGTCTATATGCCTCATCCTCTCTCTCTCTCGCTCTCTCTGTGTGCGCTTGGAGACGCATTCAAAGCAATTTTCACAATTTTCGTATTGTTTACTTAATTAATTCTGCACAAAGATTTTCATTTACGAGTGTGCTGCCTGCTTAAGTGTGTGCGTCTGTGTGTGTGTGTGTCCTACTAGACGCATCTGTATGCGTATGTACAACTGTGCCAGTGTGTGTGCCATTGTATTGGTATGTTTGTTATGTTTGTTGCGGCATATGCAGCTGTTTTGTGGTTATTAAGGCAACCCGCACTCACGCACACACATAAGCGAATGCCTGCCTTTACATAGATCAAGTCGCGTAATGAGTTTTTAACATTAAATGAACAGCAGCGCACCAAAAGAAAGAAATTGACACTTTTTGTGGCTTCAATTAATAACTCGAAGCTGCGGCTGCATTCTTATTTGCTGATCTTCCTCTGCTCTAGCTAAGAGACTTGTCTATCGAGCCAACTTAACTTGATGTTTAGCTTCGAAACACAGCTACGAATGTTGCATATTAAGTATACGCCTCGGCATGATGCAAGCGGAATTAAGAGATTTAGCTAATCGAGAAACGGAGAGAGGATGGTGTAAGAGAGAAAGAGAGAGGGAAATGGATAGAGAGAGAGAGAGAGAAGAAAAGAAAGAGAGAGTTAGAGCGCAAGAGAGAGGCAGAGAGGGAGAGAAATATAAATAGAAATAGTAACAAAAAAAGACATAGAACGAGTAAGAAAACCAAAGAGATTTGAACTATAACAACTCCAGGCTGACTGCATCAAGGGCCGCCTAGTGATATGGAACAGATGACATCTGCTGAGGTGCATCAACAATGCTTGAAGACGTGTCACCAGCTGCCATTGATCGGTGCCAACAATATGCTTCGTCCTACACTGCCAGGGTCATGTCAGTGTCAGCCAACTGGCAGCTAGAGCCATTGCTAGAGATCTCTCACTTATTGCTAACTGGCTAACACACAGTTTGTTCAGGCATGAACATGCAAGATAATAGAGAAAGATAATACCATGTGCTTAAAATCTAAAATAAGATATATCAACAAACTCAAGCTAGATTTAAAGGCTGAAATGCACATGACTCAGGGCATAAGAATCCCAACTCAGAAGAATAAAGAATCAATGAAAAACTCAACCACATCAGTGTCAAGTGTATTCAAAGGCCTGCAGCTGCCATATTTTGGCGAGTGCCTTTCTGTGAGCCCATTCACATTGTTAAAGGCGAAGGCCCATCTTGCATAAAGTAGAATACTTTCTTTTTACATGGATTTATATTCGACTAGAATATCTGCCCTTAAGTAACAGACTTGCAGAATAGCGGGCATTGCGCAAACCAATATGCTCCTTTCACTCAGTGAGTGCTTAGCTTGAGCAATCCCCATAAGTAGGCTGCATAAAACGAAATTCCGTATGCTAAAGGCCAATAGATAGCTTTCTGGTTTGCAGTAAGAGTATCTCTATAAATCGATAAATCGATATTTTGCCTACACTTTTTCATATCTATATCCACTAGTCCATCTGGCAACAGCCTGTTTTCAATTATTATTGCTTCACGCGACCTCATTATTCAATCAAAAACCTTTGACTGCGTCGCTGAGACTTTTAGGCTGGAAATCAGGAAATATTGATTTGAGCTATTTGTGGGGGCTTCAAGCTCACTTTTTTGAATTTATATTCCAGGCTGCCCATAACATCATCTCTAACGAGAACTTTCAGCTTGTATCAGTTGCTACAGAGTCTGTTGAAGCGCAAAGGAGCTTGAAGTTGAAGCTTAGCTTTAAGGAATTAGTGAGGCTCGGGCCATGCCAGCGCTTTCATAATAAATTATATTTATTGATACTAGTTTTCTTCACGCACTCTCAGCCTCACTCCTACAAGTATGCAATGTACCAGCAATCCATCAATTTTCAAATTATACTCCGTAATATCTAACAGCGGCTCACGGGCCGAGATAGTCGCTGTTCATTGTGCCTGATTGACAGGGTCACTTACATGGCCAACAGGCCGAGCAGTGCGCCCCTATTATTTTGCTCATTCGAGTTAATGTGGCCTTGTGCTCGAGTTGCCAGCGTGACGAACGAGAGCTTTCATTGTGCTGCCCGGGAGGCAGCTTCTACCCTGTAATTTACATTGGCTGCAGACTTCAATTTCAAGTTGAAGGCGTTCCAAATAGGCGTGACAGTTGCTAAAGCTGCAACTGAGGCTGAGGCTCAGGCTGAGGCTCAGGCTGAGGCTGAGGCTGATGATGTGCCCGTAGCTGAAGCAAGACAGGACTTTCACTCAATAGCAGCGAGTTGTTAGGAAAACTATTTTACCGCTCAATTGATTTTGCAATTTATTTGCGCGCATTATGCAAACGCACACAGACATAAACAGAGTAGCACACACGGGTAGCGGGTAGAGGGTAGTGGGTAAGGGGTAAGGGGTAAGGGGTACGGGTATTGGATATCTCAGCGTGTACGAGACAGCAGCAGCAGCAGCAGCAGCTCACGTGTCCTCAGCCCAAAACGAGCGTTTGCCAGTGGCGGGCGCACTTTCAATTCTATTTACTCCCAATAATCATCATCAATGTCAGTGGCGCTTGCACTAAAGTAAAATAACAACAGCAGCAGCAACAGCAGCAACAACAGCAACATCAGAAATAACAACAGCAGCAGCAGCAACAACAACAACCTTGAGCACATCAACGTCAACAGGATCATTGGCGGTATTGACAGCAACAACAACAACAGCCATAGAAACAGCAGCAACAACAAAAAAACATGTGAAAGCATTGCGGTCGGGTGTAGCTGACAGAGCAATGCTCTGTGCAGGCAGAGTCAATGAAGTCGACAGACTCGAGCTTTGTCAGTGGAGCGCAGGTAAAGGGTTAGCGCAGCCAACATTTGCTCCAGCCAATATACTCCTTTGGGCTTGAGGCGGGAGCTTATAAAGCAGCTGTGTGTTGTTTTGTTGTCACAGTTGCCCAGACACTCCAAACGAGGCACACACGATGGCAAGATGGAGAGGCAGCAACGCATAGGAAAGTTGATGTTTATATCGATTGCTGGCAATTTCGAGAATTACAACAGTCACACACACGCGCGCACACACACACACACACACACACACAGGGAAGCAGACAGGACGTGCGCATGTTGCTGTCCTCCCTCGTCCTGCCACCCGGCTTCTCCTCGATGCTCTGCCCGGTTGCCAGGTTCGTGTGTTCAATTGTCGCCAGCGTGAGAGGGCGCAACCAGCGACGAGGTCAACGTCGCCGTTGCCGTCGCCGTCGCCGTCGCAGTCGCAGTCGCCATCACCATTTGACATTACTTTTCGAACAATAACACAAAGAGGGCGGCTCTTCTAGTGGGGAGTGCTCGACTGGCAAATACTTAGCTATGCAAAATTTCTGCCTCATTGACTCTATATGAATCCATATATGAAAGTGAAGGGAAATATATATATATTTATATATAGCATAGTTGTCGCAGCCATATGTTCTATCTATATTCAAGCTGCGCTTGCTGCAGATGCATACGAACTAAGGATAGAAGTTTTCATAAACAAATTAGTTTTTAATTATTTTTCTTATCAAAAGTCCGGTGTGTGCTTGCAGGGTATCTGCCGTCGATCACCATCGACATGGAGCTCCCTTTGTTTTGACTGTTATTTGTTGTTATATGGTCATTCGTCCCTGCGTCCACGCCTCACCAAAGCTCGTCTGAGCCAGTATTTCTTTGCCGTCTCCTGCGCTGCAGTTTAAAGTGGAAAATTGGTGGAAATTGATGGAAATTGTCATAGCTTACGTCATAAAAAAGATGTTGGACTAAGCGCACTTAGCAGCAAATCCGCTTGTCAGGGTCACACACAACTACACACGCACACACACAAAGACAAATTAACAACAATGGACAACTACAGCGATCACAATGTAAGCAGCTCACGCGCTAAGCTCGCATAATGTGTACAAAATACCAAGCCCAGCAAACACAGAGGGCGACAGAGACATTCATATATAATCATAACATTTTTAACAAGTAAACAAAGCTAACTGCAGCGTCACGAGAACAACATACCCTATGAATTTAATGGAATCGAATAGAAATGCCAAGTGTTATCAACTATCTAACTAAATATATATATATATTCTAATGTATTTATCAAATATTGATAGAACATTCTAAGGAAAATATATTAACATGTGTATACTTAATACTGCCGATAATACCCTGTTCCATGTGTGTGTGTGTGGCTGGCACATTTCGCAACCAAAATAATTGTAATACCCTCTGCATGGGTGTAAAAATAGATTACAATGGTTTAAAGCTAACAATGGAAGACCTTTGCTACGACTGGCTACACGTTACTACCCAACAGACACAGACACCCACACACACACGCACACGCACACGCACACTCACAGAGACACATTTGTGCGGCGCCTTCGTTGGTGAACCAAGTCGCTAAAAACCCAAACAAAAATTTGCAGCTTTCTATCGCATAAATAAAGTTTAAAATAAAGTGAGCAAAAGAGTTGTAGTGGAGCAGAGCAGCAGCAGCAGCAGCAGCAGCAACAGCAACAGCAACAGCATTGGCAACAGCAATGGCATATCCACAGAGTTCACACGCAAACGCGTTTGTGCCACGCCCCAAAAACAAACGTCATTTAAAAGTTATTTCAACGTTAGTTGGTGCTTATGTAAAAGTAGCTGCCGGGCGCAAAAATGTTATCCGCTCAGCCCTCGCTAGTGTTTAAGCAAACTTCGCACTTGCACAACCAAACTCACACACACACACCCGCGCCCACACACCCTTCACCCACATACACGCTCACGTGAGAGCACGCACACATAAATGAACTAAACGCTACGTGCTGATTACTGCAAACGCAAGGATTTTCCCACACAGGATTTTGCCCAGCACCAGGAACAACAGCAGCAACAACAACAGCGACAGCAACAACAACAACAACAGCAATCGCAACACAGAAAAAGGCGACACCAGAATTTACTACAGGATCTCATTTGTTGGTTTTGCTTCTGTTTGCCAAGCATTTCGCGCGATCCAAACACGGCAAAAACACCATCCATACACACATCCAAGCGTATGTACGTGGACATTGCCCGCTTAACAAAATATTTACCAAGTGTTCACATTGTACGGCCCCCTCCCCCTCCCCCTTTCCACACACTAGCCCTTGCCACAGCGCTCGCAACAAACAGCGAAGGCAACGACAGAAGCAAGACGTCAAGCCGCATGCGAAACTTTGAGTCAACTCGACTAGCAATCACCCTGCACTTAGCATAGTTTTAAACAGCGTCAGGCTAAGATAACACGATACAGAGCTTCATTTTATAGAAATCTAATTATCATCACTTGCATTCAAGAATTTTCGATTGAAAATAGTTTTTATTATGACTTATCAAACTGTCTGAACCGATTGCATTGTTCAGCTATGCAATAATTGCAGTAAAGCTTCAATTTGTACTTTACAAATCTTATCTTAAGGGGAATATACATGTTGGCAAGGTAAATGTTCAATTTAAGTAAAGTGTGTAAAATCTAGCAAATATCAAAATAAAAGTAAAGGCACAAAATAATTTAATACATTAAAAAAAATTAAAAATATTAAAAAAAAATATTCCATACAATTTTTAAATATAACAAAATATTTGTCAAATATTTAAGTACATTTAAATAAATTAAAATATGGTACAAATGTGTTTTTGAATATTAAAAAATATATAAGAACATTAAAAAATATTTAAGAACATAAAAAAATATTAATAAAACATTAAAGAATAATAAAATAGTAATATCAAATATAAGATTCTAATACATTTTAAAATATTAAAAAACTATTTGAAAACATTAAAAAATATTTAAGTATATTAAAAAATTATTAAAATAGATTAAAAAAAATATTTAAGTATATTAAAAAAATATTAAAATAGATTAATAAATATTTGAAAATTGAATAAAATATTTTAGAATGTTAAAGTAATTGAAAAATATTTAAAATTACTAAACTAGTCTAAAAAATATTTAAATATCTTAAACACGTTTATAAAATATTGAAAAATATTAAAAACTATAAATAACATTCATAAAATATTAAAAAAAATATTCAAAATTATTCAAAGTTATTAAAAACATTTCAAAATATTAATAAATGTATACAAATATTTCTATATTTCTTTATAGATTTTTATCGAAACTATACAAAATAGTTACTCGATGAGCTCGAATTTGAGTTATAGATATATATATATATACATATATGTATATATACAGAAAAAATGTTATACAGAGTAAGTAAAATTAGAAGCTGAAATGACAGACGAGACATACATACCACAACCATTATATCATCATGCCTGATTCTGATACAGATTCATTACAAATATATACATTTATATATATAACTCTGTAAGGAGTCGGATATGTCCTTTTATTTGTTGACGCTAGCAGAGAAGATGCGCATATAAATATATATATTTTATAAGAATTTTTATTATCACCAAAAAAAAACTGCCAAGCACGCAGTGCAGAAAAAAGCTAACTACGTGTTTCTTGTGCGCACGTTGTACGGATTATTAAAGTTTTGACACGAAATAATAATGTAGCCGAGGCAGTATATGAATTCCAGATCAGTAGCAGCAGACCAATCGAAATGCTTCTGTCCATCCGTCAGGCTTGATTAAATCTTATAGTATATTCAAAATAGATATATAAATATTTCATGCATGCTTGGGCAATGGGCTGGGATAATTGCTTGTGCAATTTGTAATCAAAATATAAATAGTTATTAAATAAGAAGCGAATATTTTGCATCAATGTTTCTCTTCAAAGAATTTCGTCTTATCAATTAAATTGAAGTCGGACTCTGAGTCTGTGGCAGCTCTCCGACAAGTTACATTTAAATTTATTGCACTAATTGAGTCATCTGGTCCTGTGGAGTTGTGTGTGCTGACTATCAAAGTC